AAAGCTGCATAGTCTGCTCCTCTAAACCGTCAAAAGAGAACCTTAGCCTGCTACTAACCTGCTAACTATTCTAGACTACTCATCTTGAATATTCTTCTTCAACTAGGTCCCTAATCATCTCCCTTGCTCCTCCTCAACCTTCAGCTCCCTCCTTTGTGCCATCCTCATGTCTTCCCTCCTTGTAGTAACTAACATTGTCATATCCTCCACCAAAACCACCGCCAGGAATCGGGTGGAATCCTCCTCTGCAACCTCGGTCCCATTGCAGCCCTCTACAGAAACAATAGCTTCTCTCCCACTGGTCCCCCCCCACTCCTCTACCATTCTCCCTGCCATCAAAATCTAAAAGCGCATTCTCCTTCACTATTGAACGATCGAACTCCTACTCTCCCCCGCTTTCAGTTGAGCATTTCTGCATCTATCTCTAAGTTACGGGTCTCCGTATCCATCTAAGCCCATCACCCACTTTTCTAACCCATCTCCCAAGCTCGGTCCACTTGGTTCATGTTCCTTTCTCAACTCGTGAGAAACGTTTAACCATTAGCTTGTGTATCCTCTTTAAATTGGGTCCTCTTCATCGAGGCACAATTCGTTTCACATCCTCTATAAAACGACAATTGTTCTTTGTGTTTCGAGCTTCATCAAAACATTCCTCATTTGAATTTCGGGAATCATAATTTTGAAATTTGAAATCTACTCGACCCGCCTTGGAAACGAGTCTTGTCTTCCCCAACCAACACCTGCCTTGAGCTCTCCTTCATAGCTTCAGTGAAGCTCTTCTCTCTCTTCGCTACCAAGCTTACCCTAAACTTCATTTGACAGTTGGGCTAGCATAGGAACGACAGGCAATATTTCTCGACCTTTTTCCAGGTTCTTCGCTTGCTTCTGCACGACAAGTTCAACCACCTAGACTTCTTTAGTGCTTCACATTTTTTCCTGACCATTTCAAACAGCACTATTATCATTCTCCACCATATGTCAGTCTGTGTTCCTTCCGGTACAAAACTTCGTCTTATTGCCTCCCTCTTCTCCTATGTAAGGACCAGGAACCTCCGCCTCCTATTCCTGTCCATGGCAACCCACAAGTTGTGTCTTCTTCCCTTCTTGTTCCGACCACCTCCCTCATTCAATCCAATAGAATTCTTGTAAGGCTCCCAGCAACTAGTCCACTTCATCTTCCCAAAACGAATTTGAAACCCTAAAGCCCCTCCCATTCTCGTTCACCCTTATTCCTTCCGATTTTTTCTCCTTGTAGACAACATCGAAAGTTTAGTTCTTGATGGCCAGAAATTTTATGTCCTGAGGGATCATTCTGACCACTCCCTAGGGTGCAACATTGGTCATGCAAATTTTGTTTGGTTGCCTTCTCTTGGTCAATAAAGCATCCGGCCACAGCTCTCTCTCTCTCTCTCTCTCTCTCTCTCTCTCTACACACAATGAAATGAAGATGAAAGATACTATCTTACCTTCAACCTCTAAGGATCTCGATTAGGAATCCTTAAGCTCCAAAGTTTCAATGTCCCCCATTCGCTTCTCTTCTTCTCCTTTGTTCTCACTCTCTTTCTCTATTTCAAACCTATTCTCCCTAGCTCGTTGCTGCTTTCGAAATCCTTTCCTTACTCTCTATTTTTCGTAGGATTAGAGGCCTATCATTCATAATCTTGTCCTATCTTTGATGAGAATGATTTAGACAAGATAGTCAACAAACTCTCTTGAAAATGCTCTTCTATATATGAGTAGTACTTCCTTGATGTCTTGTGAGTTTTTTTTAATAGATTTTAACAATATATTAAGCTGTAACATGATGATGGCAATTCAACAAAGTATTGTAGAACAAATATAATAGAGAATTTTGCATATATATATAATTAAGCATTTTGACAACTACTAATCTTGAGTTGCATGTATAAACAATGATAGACACAAAGATTTAAATTAAAGCCAATGGCCTTTACCAACCTCAATAATTCCCCAACTGCAAGTAAAGAACCATGGATACTGTGAACAGGTGCATTTCTACCCAATCCATCTTGTGTCGCCTCAAACATTCGATAGTACCTGTTAAATATGCAACACAATTGAAATTACCATGCAACTACGAATGGTTATAAACAAAAAAATTAATGCAATTCTCCAATTCAAATTAAATGATTAAGTTTTGAAGTCATTTTTGTATAAAGCATGTACCATCAAGATCAATGGCCATAATTATTCTCCCCCCAACTTCAAGATGAGACACAGAACATACCAGGTAAGAGAGGCCAATTATGGTCATAATTACACTACTAGCATGAAAACATAATTATTCTAGTTCCCAACCTTGTTTTCAAAAACTACTTCTCAACTTAGCAAAACAAATCCAATTTTTTTACTGGAAAAGTATTATTAACATTAAAAAAAAGTAATCAAAGAGAAAAATTCTAGAAATGTGAAGAGCAGGCTGATAGCTTTTTTTTTTAGATAAAGCATGCAGATAGCTTATATCAGCTCAAGCAATGAAAGCCAGCCAATCTTGATAAAAAAGATGAAGAAAAATATTTAAAATGCCAAAGTGCCTTACCCACAAAGAAACCAAAAAGACAAATTATCCTATAGGGAAGAAGGAGAAAATATATCCCTGAAAATCCTAGCATTTTTCTCCAAACATAACACCTATAAGCAGAAACTATCCACCCTTAGAGCCTTGTACTCCTTATTTCCACAATACAGTAGAGGGAAATTAAACCCTCTAGATAACAAAAAGGAAATCCAAAAAACACCAAAAGTGTCGAACAAACTGGTTTATCATTTCCACACCATATTGTAATGAAGAAAAAGGTGACTACGAGACTCAGCTACACTGGAGAGTGTCGAAAAAACGGGTTTATAATTTCCACACCATGTTGTAATGAAGAAAAAGGTGACTATGAGACTCAGCTACACTGGGGCACATCATACACACCACTGGAGACAATCGAGCCAAAAGAGCACCCTTTACAACTGGAGGAGTCAAATTAAGAATCTGATGTCAATAACTTCACGATCATTAAGGCTTCTACCAAATAACAAAATCCATGAACACTAACTGCTAGAGTACTCAAAAGAAGACGTAATATGATTACTGTGACTCTGTGATAGATTGTATAAGCAGGAGAAATGAGAGGTCGTGTCAATTCAAGAGTTCTCCAAAAAAAAAAAGCAAAACAAGACCCATCACTAACTGTTAGAATAAGGGAAGAAGGAAGTATAGGAGTAAGAATAGCTTCCTAGGAGCTATTACAAGAAAGTGAGACACTGGTTTTGGTGTCCCAACCATCCCGATCCAAAATTAACTTGCTTTTCATTACCCTTTATAACATACAACAGTCACGTGGGTGAGCTACTTGTTATGCTAACAATCAACACTTTAGCAGTGTAATAGGAAAATTAGAGAGAAATCTTCGAAAATATTACTAAAACGAAGTGAAAGTATTAGTGCCAATTTTGTAATTTCATCTTTAAGAGAAATTTCAGTTATTCAATAAAATACTTTAAGAGTTTCTCAATTTTTTGGTTATGAGATGCAATCAAATCCTTAAATACAATGCTTAAGGCTTATGAAACATGATTTTAAGAAACAAAGTTTTATCCCTCAATTTATAATTCAACAAATCAATCTCAATTTATCATACAGCAAGTTCTCTTAAATTGAGTAGCAATTTCAATTGCCACATTAGAAAACGATTACAAACTGTTCCAGTCAAAAACTGTTTCTTTCAGTTTTTATTTCTTTTTACTTTTTTATTTTCTATTTTCAAATCATCCTCTATAAAAAGTTTTTAATACTTAGATACAAATTCAAATTTCTTCTACTCTATCCCATTGTCATTTTAAATATTTAATTTTCATTTACAATTCTACATTCTTAAATTTCATCTTCCTATTCATCAATTAATTTTTTGAAAAAATGGATGATCATGGAGAAAGAGTTTCGCCCATGCAAAAATATAATTAGCATAAAAATGTAGAATGCAAGAAAATACTACCAAGTCAGCATGAAAGCAATAAGAAATTGTGCAAGGGACTTAAAGACCTTATTGACATATCAATCGATTTGTAAACTCTTTTGTACATGGGTTTGCACTCCCCCTTGGTGCTTGTGAATGAATAACACAAAGAGTTCAGGATGGTCAAGTTATTATTGAACTTCAGCCATTCATTGGAAACAAAAGCAATTGAATTTGGAAAACCTCCAGCCTATCACAACCCACGCTAAGACCCTCTATCACACTCCTTTTTCTCTGTCTTGAGAAAGTATACGACTCAGAACACCCACTTCATATGAAGAGGAGAAGACAGGGAATCCCTGTCTCAAATTTGTCTATCCTGAAAATAAGACCTAGGTTTCCCATTAAAACAACAAAAGCACTAAGGTAAGAAAACTTGAATCCATATCCACCACCTAGACAAAGCCTTTACTCTCCATGACTTTATTTAAAAAGCCCAAATTTACCAGTCATAAGTATTGTCAAAGGCCAGTTTAAAGCCAAACCTTTTCCTCAATCTCCAACCCCA